AAAAAGCCCAAAATTGGCGGATTTGGGAGCGGCGGAGGGAGGGGGACACGGGCCGGGATTTGATCCCGATCCCTGCGGGAATCCCGAGGATTTGGGGTTTTTAAATCCCCGAATCCCACGGATTTGGGGGTTTTAAATCCCATTTTTCCCCCCTAAATCAGCTGCCGGCCGCGGGGAGGAAATCTGAATTTTTGGGTTTTTTTTTTTTACCCTTTTTATCTTTATTTTCCCCATTTTTTTCACCCCGCGAGCGCCAAAAAAATCCCTCCCCCCCCCCCAAAAAAAAACCCCAAACAAACCGAAAATAATAAAAAAAATGGGAATAAGAGGATGGGAGCGGGGAAATTTTAAATTTTTGGGGAATTTCGCTGTTTGTTTTCCCTGGGAACAAAGAGCAGGACTTGTCCATATTTCCAGCACTTTTAATAAAACATCTGTTCTTGCTTCTGCTGATGAGTTCCCTTAATTGTTTGCAGACCCAATTCCGCCAGAAATCTCCCCAGAAATTCCCCTTTCCCCTTGGAGGGGAAAAAAAAAAAAACCCAAAATATTTTTATTTTTTTTTAAAAAAAAAAGCTTAAAAAACCCCCAAAATCTCCCCCCTAAAAAAAAAAAACCAGTTTAAACCCATTAAAAATTCAGATTTCAGAGGGGATTTTTGGGGGGGGTTTCTGCGCTGGGTTATTTTTTATTCCAATTTTCTTTTCTTGGTTTTTTTTTTCCTGGGGGAGTTTCTGCGCCCCTCCTCAAAAAAAAAAAAAAATCAGGTTTTGGGGTGTTTTGGGGTGTTTTTGTTGTTGTTTTTGGGTTTTTTTACGGCAGCTGCTTTCTGCTGTCTATAAATCGAGAGGACTTTTAGGACTCGCCCTCTGTTTAGAGAAGTAATAAAACACTTAAAGTTCTTTTTTTTATTTATTTTTTTTCCCCCCACCCCGCTCCCAATCCCGCAGGTTTTCAGCCCACCTTGGAAAATTAAAAGGGGGGGAAAAAATTTAAAATATTTAAAAAAAAAATATATATAAAAATTTAAAAAGGCGGGTAAATAAAAAGAGGAGCGTAAATAGAAGAAAAAAAAATTAATTTTTTTTTTTTTTTTAAATAAAAAGTGGGGGAAATAAAGCAGAAAAATATGGGGGGGAAAAGCCGGAAAAAATGGGGGGAAAGTGCGAGAAAAAGGGGAAAAAAAGCCAAAAATAAATGGGGAAAAGTGGGAAAAAATGGGAAAAAAGCCCCAAAAAAAACCGGGAAAGCGGAGGGGAAGCAGCGACAGCAGCAGGAAAAGGCCGGGAAAAGGAAAATGAAGGAATCCAAGGGAAAATGAGGATTTGGGAGAAGTTTTCCCGCTGGAAACTCCCCGGGAATTTCCTCTCCCAGGGCCCCAAATCCCGGCCTCGCCCATTCCCGGCCTTTGGGATAGCCGGGAATGCCCCAAATCCCAAATTTCGGGCTCCCCCAATTCCCAAATCCCTTTTTTCCCAGCGGGGAAACAAAACCCAAGCGGCGAAAATCCCGATTTTCCCGGTTCGGGGAGAGGAAATTTGGGAATTCCGGGCTTGGAAAACGCCAGGAATTCTTCTCCAAGGCCACGGGAGCGGCCCAAGGTGGGAGCTCCCCCCCCCCGGAGCCGATTTTGGGGCCAAAAACTCGGAATTTTTTCCCCCCCCGGAGAGGGAGGCGAGGCTTTGGTGCATTTTTGGGGGGATTTTGGGGCGGTTTTTGTGTTTTTTGTGGTTTTTTTGTGGTTTTTTGTGGGGTTTTTTTGTGTTTTTTGTGGTTTTTTTGTGTTTTTTTTTCCCAGTCGCGGTCCCGTTTATGGTTTTATTGCTACCATTGATGACTTTGCTTTGTTACCCAGAGGAAAAAGAACATAAAATCCTTTGGCATCCGGGTTCCTGTCATAGCTGGAGGGGCGAAATATTCCCTAAAAAAAAAAAAAACCCCAAAAACACCCAAAAAAAACCCCAAAAAAACCCAACCCAAACCGACCCCTCCCCCCGCGCTTTCCTTTGTCAGCCCGAAAAAAAAAAAATCCCCCCAAAAATCAGAATATTTGGGGTGTTTTTTAATCTAAAAAAATGGGTTTAAAACTGAAATAATCAGGGTTTTTTTTAGCTCCAGGGGAGCAACGGATCCCCCCTCCCTCATTTTGGGGTATTTGGGATAAAAACCGAGGGGGTTTCGCCACAAAAAAGAGGAGGAGGAGGAAGAGGAGGCCGAGGGTTCCCCCATGGAATAATCGGGATTTTTTTGGAGCGGCGAGGATGCTGCGAATCCGTTCCCGGGCAGGTAGGGCCGGATTTTGGGGCGGATTTTGGGGTTTTTTGGGGTGAAAAAAGGGGATCGGGATCCCCCCCCCGGACCTCCCCTGGCCTGGAATATTCCCGGGAAAAGTTTGGAAAAGCTCCGGGAACTCCGAAGCGCGGCCGATCCCGGCCCGGGCCGCTCTTCCCAACCCCAAATCCTCTTTTTTTTGCTGGTTTTTAAGGGATTTTGGGATTTTTTCTTCTCCTTTTTCCACCCCCTCCCCCCCCCCGCGTTGTTGTGAAGGCGGAGAAAATCCCCAAAACCCCGGGAAAAGCCCCAAAAAGCGGAGGAGAAATCCCGAACTTCCAGGCCGGGCTGGCTTTTCCCGAAATTCCCGTTTTTCCCCTCATTTTGCTGCCCCTTTTCCCAGGAGTTTGGGAACCGATCCCGCCTCATCCATGGAGAAGTCGCCATGTTTATCCCAACCCCCCCCTCTCCTCCCCCTTTGTTTTTTTTTGGTGTTTTTCCTCCTTTTTATGGATTTTTATTTATTTTATTTTAATTTTTTTTCCCCCCCTCCCCGTCCTTTTAAATATTAAAAGCAGGAAAAAAAAAAAAAGAGGGGAAAAAATATTAAAAAATAAAAATATTTAAAAAAAAATAAATAAAAGAAAAAATAAAGAGGGAGAAAAGGGGATAATTTATGGCTTAATATTCTGTTGGACTCCTGAGATTTATTGCTGGGAATTCGGAGCCGCTTTTATTAGGAAATATTTAAGAGCAGCTTTCTTGGAAAGAATAATAATTGTGATAATGGTTTTAAAAAAGAAAAATTAAAAATAAATGAAAAAATTAAAATATAAAGAAATAAAATTAAAATAAAATGGAAAGAAATTAAATGGAAAGAAATAAAGTGGAAAGAAATGAAATGGAAAGAAGTGAAATGGAAAGAAATTAAATGGAAAGAAATTAAATGGAAAGAAATAATAAAATGGTAAGAAATGAAATTAAAAGAAAACTAAAAGAATTAAAATGAAAATAAAATGGAAAGAAGTGAAAATAAAATGAAAAGAAATAAAATGAAAAAAAAACTGGAAAGAAATAAAATGAAAATAAAATGGAAAGAAATAAAATGGAAAGAAATAAAATGGAAAGAAATAAAATGGAAAGAAATAAAATGAAAAGAAATAAAATGGAAAGAAATAAAATGAAAAGAAATAAAATGGAAAGAAATAAAATGGAAAGAAATAAAATGGAAAGAAATAAAATGAAAAGAAATAAAAATAATATAAATAAATAATTAAAATTTAAATAAATACAAGTTTTTTTAAATAATAATGGAATAAAGAAGGGGAAAAAAAAAAGGAAAAAAGCAAAAAAATGAAAGGAAAAAGGGGGAGGAAAAGTTTTTTTTTTTAAAAAATTTGTGGATTTTAGGGATTTTTTTCTTGCCCCATCCCCCGGGGGGGCGGGGAGGAGGTTTCGGGGGTGCCGCACTCACTTTCCATGCCCACTTACTCTCAACTGGGGACTGGCGAGCAGCGAAAAAAAGCAATTTTTTCCCCTTTTTGACACCCGGCTCGCCATTGGCTCCCCCCGGGTCAGCTGACTGTGTCCGTCTGTCTGTCCTGGAGCAGAGCCTTCCCTATAACAATCCTCTACTTCCGACTACAAACCCGAGACAGAAATAAATATTAAAAGAATTCGCACGGGCCCAGGTGGCGCCGGGAAAAGAGGAGAGAGGGAAAAAGAGAGAGGGAAAAAGAGAGGGAGAGAGAGGAGAAGGGGGAGCGCTTTTTTTATTATTTTTATTATTATTATTTTTATTATTATTATTATTATTATCATTATTATTATTATTTTAAATGATTTAAGAATAAATAAAAATAAATGGAATAATTTTTTTTTTTTTAAAAAAAAAAATTTCGGCAGGTGGTGGAGGGATAGAAAATAGAATTAAGGGCGAAAGGGGAAATAAATGTAGGGAGAGGAAGGGGAGGAGGGAGAGGGGGGATAAAGAGGGAGAAATTGAGGGGGGAGAGAGGAGTTGGTAGAGGGGGGATTGAGGAGAAAACAGAGGGGGGAAAAAGAGGAGAAAAGAGGAGAAAAGAGGAGAAAAAATCGAGGGGAAATAGAGGAGAAAAATAGAGGAAAATATAGAGGAAAATAGAAGAAATAGAGGGAATAGTGGAAAAAATAGAGGGAGAAATAGAGGGGAAAATAGATGGAAAAATAGAAGAGAAATATAGGGAAATAGGGGAAAATTGAGGGAAACAGAGGAAAAAATAGAGAAAAATAGAGGAAATTTGAAGAAAACAGAGGAAAAATTAGAGAAAAATAGAAGAAAATAGAGGAAAAAATAGAAGAGAAAATAGAAGAGAAAATAGAAGAAAATAGGGAAGAAAATAGAGGAAAATAGAGAAGAAAATAGAGGAAAATAGAGAAGAAAATAGAGGAGAATAGAGAAGAAAATAGAGGAAAATAGAGAAGAAAATAGAGGAAAAAACCAGAGGAAAGAAACAGAAAAGGAAAGAACTGCAGGGAAAAAACCCAAACGCATAAATCGACAAAAAAAACCCCAAAAACCTCCAAAAAAAAAAAGGAAAAAAAACAACAAAAAACCCCAACAAACCCAGGAAACAAAAACCAACAAAAGGACCAAAAAAAGAAAAAAAAAAAATAAAAACCACCAAAAAAAAAAAAAAGCGCGGAAAAATAAAGAGAATAAAGCAAAGCAAAGCGGAGGAAGGAAAGCGATGAATTCCTACTTCACCAACCCGTCCTTGTCGTGCCACCTCGGCGGCGGCCAGGAGGTTCTGCCCAACGTGGCGCTCAACTCCAGCTACGACCCCGTGCGGCATTTCTCCAGCTACGGCGCGGCCGTGGCTCAGAACCGCATCTACTCCTCGCCTTTCTACTCGCCCCAGGACAACCCGGTGGTGTTCGGCTCGGGCCGCTCGCCCTACGAGTACGGCTCGAACGCGTTTTACCAGGACAAGGAGGTGCTGAGCAGCTGCCGGCAGAGCTCGGTCGGGGGGCACGGCACCCCCAATTCCATCGCGCAGGATTTCCCCAGCGAGCAGAGCCGGAGCGCGGCGGGGCAGGAGCAGAAATCCGGCATCCAGATTTACCCCTGGATGCAGAGGATGAATTCGCACAGTGGTAAGTTTTATTTTTTATGGCTGGAGGGGAGATAAATTAAATAAACTTAGCGGTCTTTACGACCTTCCCCTCCTTTCCTCCCCGCGGAACGAGTTTTTATGGGGCCATAAAAACAATAATTTCGCGCTGTTTCGGCGGCTGCCGGGGCCCCTCTTCTTCTTCTTCTCCTTCTTCTTCTTTTTTTTTATTCGGTGGAGTTCGGGTCTGGCTCGTTAGGATCGGTTCTAATTAAAAGCTTTCGCCCGGCGGTGAAATATCGGCGCTCGTAAAATCAGATTAAATAATAAAATGGGGATAAAAGAGCGCTGCTGAGGGGAGGTGAGCGAGGAAAGAGAGAACGCGAGCGGGGCTTGGCAGCCAGGAATGAACTTTGTGGGGTTTCTTAGCGGTTTTTTAGGGTTTTTTTAGGGTTTTTTTTTAGGGTTTTTTAGGGTTTTTTAGGGTTTGGGGCTGGCACGAGCAGGGGCCGGGGGGAAGCCGCCCCTTCCTCGCCGTCCCCTTCTCCCCCCAATCCGTGGGATGCAGGGAAAATCTGGGCTAAAACCCCGCAAAGTCTGGGTTAAAACCAGCAAAACCTGGGTTAAACCCCTGCAAATCTGGGCTAAACCCCTGAAAATCTGGGTTAAAACCCTGAATTTCTGGGTTAAAACCCTCAAACCCCGAGTTTAAACCCTCAAAATCTGGGTTAAAGCCCTCAAAATCTGGGTTAAAATCTTCAAAATCTGGGTTTAAAACCTCAAAATCTGGGGTACAACCCTCAAAACCTGGGCTAAAACCCCTCAAAATCTGGGTTAAAACCCTCAAAACCTGCGTTTAAACCCCCAAAACCCGGCCTAAACCCCTCAAAATCTGGGCTGCAACCCTCAAAACCTGGCCTAAAATACGGCAAAGCCCAGGCTAAAACCCTCAAATCTCGGCCTAAAACCTCTCAAAATTCAGGCTGAAACCCCTCAAAACCCGGCCTAAAACCCCTCAAAACCCAGGTTGAAGCCCTGAATTTGGTCCTGAACCCCCTAAATTCAGTGCTGGATCCTTCATTTTGAGGCTGAACCCTTAAATTTGGTGCTGAATCCCCTAAATTCGGTTCTGAACCCCCTAAATTCGCTGCCGAGCCCCCCGAACTCTGCGCTGAACCCGCTGAATCTGAGGCTGAGCTCCCTAATTCCATCCTAAAACCCCTAAATTCCGTCCTAAACCCTCTAAATTCCATCCTAAACCCCCTACATTCCCTCCTGAGCCCCCCGAACTCTGTACCAAACCCCCTAAATTCCCTCCTGAACCCTCTAAGTTCTGTGTTAAACCCCCTGAATTCTGTACCGAACCCCCTAAATCCGCTCCTGACCCCCCCAAATCCCCTCCTCACCCCCCAAATCCCCTCCTCACCCCCTCAATCCCCTCCTCACCCCCTAAATCCCCTCCTCACCCCC